GTACTTTTTAAAGTTTTGGAATAAGTTTGACCTAAATCAGAAAGTTGAGGGACTAACATGGTTATTTAACCAAAACATTTAGGTCCTTCAACTTTAAAGTTTACATACTTTTCGTCCCTCAACTTTTTTAATAGTTTTTTTAATCTTTAACTATGAAAAATACAATGTTTAATAGTTAATTAAAAGATACGAAATGCAGAAAACGGTAAGACATGAAAATTTGCCCATATAAAACCTTCAAAACTCACAAACAATCATATATATTCACCTTAAAATATGATTAAAACAACAAATCTGAAAATGCAAGCTAATATCAAATACTTAATATAAAAATTTTGTCATTAATGGTTGAAATTTCACTAAAAATTTATAAAAACATTATTCATAACTATTCATCAAATTTATCTAAAAGAAAATCTAATAATATTAACTAATATCTAATGAACTAATTAATAATAATGTTTAATGGCTTAAATTTCAGAAAAAAATAAAATCTACATAAAATATATAAAAAATAATAATACTACTTAAATTTTACTTACCACTGCTTGATCCACTAAATTGCAAGAAGAAAAATGTGTTAAAGTGCTTCAAAGGGAAAAATGGAGGAAAGGGAGCAAGAACAACTCGCGGGACAAGAGGAAAATGAAAATGAAAGGAGAAAGACCAAAATGAAGGTAGAAGGGCGGGTCAGCAGGGCAATAGGCAAACTTACCGATGAAACCCACGTTGCTCAGTCTAAAGCTGATCATCTCTGCATTGTATCAAGATTCTCGTTGATGGGGCCCATCACTGACGAGCATCAACTTGGCAATGGACCTATTACTGACCTACATCTTATCGGCAAGGAAAATAAAAGCTGCAACACTTGTGGCCAACAGCCGGATTCGCGGGGAGTTATTGAATGGCAAATTACCGACAAGGATTATGTCGGCAAGTTTCATCAGAAAGCTGCACTCCTTGATGCAGGCAACCAGCTGGTTGGCGGGGGTGCATTGGAAGTGGAAATTACCGAGAAGATGGACGTTGGAAATTGATCCTCAATTCCCGACGAGACTATCGTTCCAAATTTAAATTTACAAGCGTGCTTCTCGTTGGTGATATACCTTTCTGTCCTTCCCCCACCAGCCAGAGTGGTGGCTGCAATTACTGACGAGTAACACGTTTGTATATGCTTAAATTACCGACAAGTGTTACGTCTGTATACTAAATAATATATCTTACTCGCATTTCTACTGTTTCTCAAGTTGCAGACTTGATTCTTGTCGGTAAAAGGATGCTTCACCGAGAAACCTTCTTATCTCAGTGATATTTGGTCGGTGAAGCTAGGTTTTCTTGTAGTGTGATGAAATTAATTTGAGAAATTAAAATAAACAGGGAACGATGAGAATCATTATATTCATTTAAAATTTATAAATCAAGTATTATATATTATATATAATTATCTATAAAGAAAATAATAAAATTAAATGAATCATTTAAAATATATTCCACAAAAAAATAAGTTGTTTTGCCGAAAATTAATCAAATAAAAAGAAATAAAATAATTAAAAAATAATCATATATTATCTTCTACTATTAGATTCTCTATATAAATTGTTGGTGAACAATTTATATTTGACTTGAAGTTATGGTAAGTCTTGAAAAGTCAAGACTCTTAATTTTTTTAACTGTGATTGAACAGTTTTGGTAAACAAAAAAAAAAATATATTTAAAAATTATTAATGAAATGAGAATAAAATATTCGAAATGATACAAGTAAAGCTTTTTGTTTGATTAAAAGATAGATTTCAAGGTATATTGTTTTTTTAATTGATGCCAATTCTTAATTTTTAATAATTATTTTTGTTTGTTTAAGAAATAATTTATGTTAAATTGTATAATATTAAGTATAGATTTATGTAAGTATTGGAG